TTGTAGTTTTGCCAAAATTATTAGTCTAAACATTGATTTGCTTCACACAAAATGTACATTTTAACCTTTTTTTTATCCAATTTGGTTAATTGTGGGAATTTGGTATCTATATTTTAATTTAAGCACCTAGTAAATCAGGTTAATAATTCCAAATATTAGTTAGATGTTCATTTTTTTTTCTTTTTTCTTATAACGAAAAATTGAACGTCCTAACGAATTTATAGGATTTCTTACCGATACCACTCGCAAATTGTCATGTTGTTAATTGGGACAAAATTACAACTAATGACATAAGCTAGTTATATTGGTAAATTTTTTAACGGATTACAAAATTACAAGAAAGGGTGTCAATCACCATTGAATTGGGTTATGTGTTCTTGTCAACCCTTAATATTTGTACTTTGAAAAGTTTGTATAAACTTTTAGTTTTGGTTTATTTTGATTCATGTATTTTGTAAGTTGTTTTCGTAATTTTGAGTTTTCTTTTTTAAAGAAAAATAAAAGAAAATAAAAGAGAAGAGAAGTGGGAAAGTGAGATGTGTGTGTTGTGGAGGAAGCCATGAAGATGAAAAACAAAAGAAAAAAAAAAGGAACTGAGAAGAAAACGAAAGAAAAAGAAGAGAAGGAAAAAAAAAGAAACAAAAGAAACGTAAACGAAATAGAGGAAGGAGGATGAAATTGAAGTTGATTCTGAAATCGGTTTGAGGTTGGGAACTTGACTTTGGTAAGTTTTGGAATTTTAAACCCTGAATTTCTAGGATATGGACTCCCTTGCTTCGTGGGTTTGTGAATCACAAGTTTATTTGAGATTGGAATGAAATGGTCTATGGGTTTGTTGCTTTGCCTAAGAGATTTCTTGAAATAGATGTTGAACTTTGATTTCTATGTATTTTGATCCCAGATTTGGGTGTAGTATTTGCAAAGAAGAAGAAAATAAAAAAAGGAAATGGGAGGGGAAGAAGCCACGGTCTGGGAAGAAAAAGATGAATAGTGTAGAGGAGAGAGAAAGACTACTGAAAATGATTGGAAATTGAAGCAAAGGAAATGGTGAAGTGAGTTTTGGTTGGAAATAAATTGGGGTATAACCAATGGTTAATAACCAAGTTGGAATTTGTGTATTGTGGGTCCCATTAGAAAATAAGAGAGAAAGAAGTGTAATTGGATTGTAGGGATAGAATTGGATTATTGATTAAATTTATGGTTTGATTTGAAGAATTGTAGAGTTTAATTGGGAATTGAGCGTGAATTGAAATTTGATTGGTTATTATTTCAGGACCATCGGAAATTGGAGCAGCGTACCAACCCAATTCACCTCATTCATAGGATTTGTGAGTGGTTATTTTACTAAATATTTTAAGATATCTATTATAGAACTTCAAGAAAATATTTATTACGTATGTTTGATTATTTCTGTTGATGAATTGAGTTTGCTGAGAATTTATGAATGATTTTGTGAACATAAAAATGTTTTATGATTTTCTGAGAAACTGTTGTGTCTATTGAATATGATTAGAAAGAAATATGTTTAGAAGTGATTTGAGAAAAAAATGTTCTAGAAAGAATAAAAAGAAGAA